TCCAGAGCTCTGCTGGAGCTGTGGGGAAGCTCATGAATGTTACAGTTGATGTTTCAGAAAAAAGGAAGATGTTTGAGAACCAACAAAACACAGACCACAAATGAACAAATTAAGTAAAATGATTTTTAAAAAATTTTTCAAAATGAATTTCCTATTGAAACAGTTATCGTATTTCTACAGGGTGATGTGGCACTAGGAGGACTTTACACCAGATGCCCTCCCTGTTACTGCGTTTAGAGGAAGAAAAGCAGCACATGGTGAGTTTTGTTTCTACAGTTCTAATGTTCTTGTGATTCTGTTCTGGTTCATTATTGTAGTAATAAGTACTTTAAATGTATTTAAACATGTACAACAGAGTAGATCATCAGAATGTGATCATCATGTGTTATTCCTGTGTCCACAGGCAGAGACCAGAGCGTCTTCACTGGAATAAATCTTCACACTGTCCAGCTCCAAACTGTGTGTCTCTGTACTTGTGCTCTGTGTGTGTTTGATTCTGTTTAAGACAATACAGAACTGTGGAAAACTAAAGACTGTTTTTGTATTATTGTACAGAATTAGATCAATTAAATTAAATCATACATACTTATACATTTTCACAATAAGGTAACATAAGATTAATATGCATATTCAGCATGATTTGATCAGATTTCATCAACATGAAAAAGTGATGTTCATGTTCTGAGAAAAATATGCGTAGAAGGGATCAAAATAAGTTTCAAAGCCTAAACATAATTTTATTTCGTGCAACCGCTTTCCATAACTTTTTTACGCAAATCCAGCGACCTTTTTTTTTCAGTGTATAACAAGGGTCTCAATCTCAATTGGAGCAGGGGCCTAAGTTATAAAATCAGTGTTGGTCGGGGGCCACATATTATATAAGATATTACATACTGTATGACCACCAAACTGTCATGCAACCTCACACAGAGTAAACATGAATGCAATGTGTAGTCTGATACATTTAATAAGGGCCACATGATATGAGATGAAGATATTTGATAACTACATATTGTATTGCAAACTATATCATATCAATACTTACATTTTGACTCAGTAAGTTCAGCAAATTAAAACTTAGTAGACCAAACGGGGTTAAAGGGGTACAAAATTTAAAAAAAAAAATAAAATTGAATAAAATCTACTATTTTCACATCTATCATTTTTATTGTGCTATTGTATTTTTTTTTGCAATATTAGCATGTTTAAGATATATTATTCAGCTGTATCTTTCTCTTTCTCATTACATTTGATTCCAACAGGCAATAAATCATAGTTTACAGTGGAAAAAGTGAACATTCACATTCCTATTTTAATCCTTTGATTTCTTTTATCATGTATTATCATGAAAAAGCAAGTGCCCAAGAGGTACAACCAGTTGCCCATACCTGAAGCACTCGAAACTGCCAAACAAAGGCTCCAAGTGAGATAGAAAAGGACAGGCAGCAATACATTATTGGAACTGTAGTTCAAATTCTTATGCATTTATGCCTTTTATTGGCAGGCCACTATTAATAGAAATTAGAAATTGTCTTGTGGGCCAGTAGAAATGATCTTAGGTGTCTCAATTGACCCGCAGGCCACAAGTTTGAGACGACTGCGCTATACCAAAATCCCTGCCTCCTAGTGAACAGAGCTTGAATAACACCTAATGAACTATTTGCTTGTTATGAATTAAAGATGCTTATTATGGCTATTAATAACTTATAATGAAGAGAGAACCAAATTTTAATTCTTGCAAATAAAAAAAAAAACATAAATGAGAATTGGGTTGGATAACCGAGGGTGAAAGTAGGACAGACAATTACAAAGAATTTGGACAGGAAAGTTACAATCTGCCAATGAAATGAAGGACACTGCAGCATTCAGGCAGTTGTGAGGTGTTAAAGAGGAGAGTTGGCACTGTTTCAAAGATCAGGTCAGACACAGTCCAGAGTGGAAATGTGTAAAGTCTGAAGTTCCTGGGCTTAGCTAGAAGCCAAAAAGAACATAGCAGAAGTTAAAACTGTAGCCCATATTGGATGCATGAGTGAAGCGTCATGTAAGGTTAGGATCTCTCCTATCCCAAGAAAAAAATAAAAATTGGACCATTCTGGTTTCTGCAGTTGCCAGCTCCATGAGGTCACAGTTTGCCTGATGCTTTTATTTAAGAAGATAGATATTATGCTTTTTGTGGAGATATTCAGTATTAAAGATTAAACAAACCTATGCATAACATTTAGTTCATTGTAAATTGCAATGTTGATCTAAACAGCTCAGTGTTAGAAATGGATCTGTTAGGCCCCACCTCTTCATAGTTCATGTACCAAATAACACATTTTCATGTATGTGTTTTTATTGTTGCAATTTTTAATCCTACATCTGAACAGATTTTTTTATATATACTTACAAGCAACTTAAGTAATTAATTAATTAATTATTGCATTTATATGCTGCCTTTAAAGAAACCTGAAGTGCCTTTCAGTGCATTATTCATTTACTCTACTCTTTATGGTAAGCTACTTTTGTAACCACAGTTGCCCTGGGGCAGACTGACAAAAATTAAAGGATTAATTAGTTTTAAAAATCTTTTTATGTTTAAAATGAACATGGGAACTTTACATTTGTACTCTCTGAGATTCTCATTTTTGGTAAAAGCTGATTCAGGACTTTACTGACAACTCAGGAAATACACAAAATCCATGCACAAACCAATCTGACAAAAACTTTTGGATCTCAAATTAAACATTCCCAAACTTCAAATCTTCCCTTGAAATATAACTTCCCATTAGACAGAATATACTCCATATAAACAGCTCAGAAAATGTGTCAACATTTGTCTGTGTTTGTGTTAATTAGGATGAGAAGAACCAGATGATGACAACGAATGTCTGGGTCAAGCAGGTACTTACAGTGTCTTACATTGGAAACACTTAGCAGTGCCTTTGTGCTAATGGGAAGTTAATGGTCCGCACTGCTGTACAGGAATGGAACGACTACAAGCTCCGGTGGAACCCTGAGGAGTACGAGAATGTCACCTCCATACGCATCCCCTCTGAGATCATCTGGAGGCCTGACATCGTCCTCTATAACAAGTAAGGCACACTATATACTGTACTATAAGGGATGCTAATTATAGGAAATACTTCATAATACCATCACTTTTAGTAGCTTTAAAGGTGTACTGTGTAATATTTCTAGTGGAAGGTCCACCACCTGATGTCTCCAGCAAAATGTTGTCTCGAATGCTCCACAGTACAGATTAAACCTATCTATCACAAAGGAGCAGGTTACATTACAGTTCAGATCTGAGGAGAGTCACCCCGATTCACAAGGAAAATGATTGGATTTTTGAGCAATAGAAACCCAGTAATGTTAGAATAAATGTTAGATGGAAACGTTAAAAGTCATATCATTCCAGGCAAAGCAATAACATGTCCATAGAGGCAGGTAGGTGATGGACCCTCCACCAGAAAAGTTTGTGCAATGCACCTTTAAAGGTTATGGATAAGTCATTGCTCTGCAACATTAAACATCTCTACCTTAATTGTATTAAATTACAGGTGGTTTTACAGCTCAAAAATACCTAGAAAAACAGGCATTGGCCTCTCTACAGATCTGACTTGTAACTTGGTCTGGTTTGGCGTCTAGGAAGATTCTGTCTTTATTGTAGATGGGTTTAATGCCACACCTCTACCACAAAAGTTACACAATGCACCTTTAGCAAAGCATGAAGACTTCAATTTCATAATGAACAAATAGTTTACCAAGAGAGATTCAGGCTCAGCAGCTACTTAATTAAAACCACAACTCTAATTCCTAACCCGTTAAAAAATTATGAAAATTGTATTCATGCTTTATTAAGGCTAATAAAGGTCAACTTATTATAAAGTGGAATTAAAATGAAACTTATGAAATTTCAAACTTATGAAAATTAAAAATGAAAAATTGCCCCAAAAAATAATGCTGTAAAATTAGACACAGACAGGAACTGTATGACTTTGATTTGAAATTCCATAAACATGACCTACCTGTGTCCCTGAGAAACAAAAAAAAACTATTATTAATTACAATTGTTATGCTCCTTTTAGTAACAAGTCAAGTCAAGATGATTATCCAATCAGAAGACAGAGTAAGCCTCACATGAGTCTCTCATTTGGGTTGCCGCCAGTTTCAGTGCTGAAATCCACTTGGTTTAAACGTATAAGTATGATATATAAATGCATCATCTCCTCCATCTTATTTGCTACAGAAGAATTGTAATGAATATGAAGTTAATTAAAGCTGTTTTTCATCCAGGCTGCAATATGCTCTGACATCTGTACATTCTGGATAATAAGACTAACTAAGCGTTTTTCTTGTTTACTTATTGAGTGCTGATATCTAGGCTACCCAAGATGTGTACTGAACAGCTGCGGCTGAACCAATGGAGTGATTTGTTGCTATAGATGAAAGATACCATACCCAGATGTCAATAAACTGCCTTATAGAAAGTTTTATTATTGCACATTAGTGAACATTTCTGTTCCACTGCTCCACTTGTGCTGACTCCAATAGACATGTGTTAATTGGATATTCTGAAGCTAATTATTTTATTTGGCTAAATCAATTGACTTGATTACTTCCAATATTTTAATTATCTCGCAGTTTCTCCCTGAGGGTAAACAGATGTCTCCAGTACACTTGTGTATTTGTTATTTTCGCACCACTGTCAAAAGATCTTTTCAATTGCATTTCTCATTCAAAGTTCAAATGGAAATCTCAACATTGTCAAATGTGATAAATGCAACGCCATTAGCAAAAGCACCTATTATGTATTCAATGGTCTCTGGTGCCCATAGAAAACTCATATTGAATTTTTAGAATGGTACACAAAGTCATCAAGGTTGACAGATGTGACAGTTATTTATTCCATGTTTTCGTAAAGATGATTACCATTTCTGGAAAAAAACAAACAAAAACAAAAAAAAAAAAAAAACAGGGGCTACACACGTCTGACCTCTGACCTTTATCCACTTTCATTGTATCTTCCAATCTGCTGTTTAATGAGTGTCTCTGTGTCACGCTGGAGGATTTGTTTATAACAGGGGTGTCAAACTCAAATTCACAGAGGGCCAAAATTTAAAACTGGGACTAAGTCAAAAGCCAAACTAAATATTTATACATCTGCCTGTTTTCTCTTCTTTCGAGATAATGTAATGTTAAACCTTTTCTTATTCAAATAAATGTTTAATAATAGTTTTGTTTACACATTGAGTCCAGGACAAGCATAATCTAAAATAATAACACAATTTTAAATAAATAATGTCTCCATAGCCAATCTGTAACCGGTGGGCCAGTTCTAATACATATTTGATATGATCTTGCGGGGCAAATATAATTATATCATGGGCCAACTTTTGACCCTGGGCCTGAGGTTGACCTGTCTTGTTTATAACTACATCCATTAGACATGACCTCCTTCACATTTATTTCAACTAAATGATTTTTTGACATTGGCAGATAAGACTCATCTAGATTATTTTGTTTTTTCCAGTCACCCGTTGTTCAACTCAACCCAACTATTACTTTTTATATTTTTAATTTTCATTAAAATTTTCTAGGAACCAATGCAGAGATTAAAGGGCCTGTACCTGATTTTGTCCCATGTCATTGGGAAAATATAGTTTTGCCCCAGTATGGATACATTGTATAAGCAGCTCTTGAGGTCAAAATAAGTCAGATGCATCCTGTCACTGCAAAATTCTACTCTGGTTTCTGACAGCTGCGCTTATAAACACATTGTAGTAAATAATTAGGGTGCTTTGAATGCTTAAGGTAAGTGAGGAATAACTTGGTACCACTGCAAACTGCAAATGAACTAGTTGTTTTTCACATTTTTAAGACAATAGAAATCAGGCACAGTGCCTTTAACCCCAATTATTTTTCTCAGTCTGTTAAATAATACTTCAGTTGTGATTTTCATTTAACCCCCAAAATGGTAAATTATTCGTTTTCCAGTAGCACTTAAGTGGGATTCATGGATAATTGCTGGATTTTCACACTGCCTGACAACCATTAACGCATTGACTTGGAGCAGTTTTCAGGACACCTCGAGGGTAGAATTCATAACTCTTTTAATTAGTCCTGGTAGAATTTTGTATGGACAAATTAACCACCACATTACCAAATCAATATTTTTCAAGTTCTTTTTAAGTTTGATGCTAATATACTGTCATTATATTTCCATTTCCGTAATGAAGACAAGTTGTAGATCGCTCCACAAATCAGCATTTGAAACATAAAATAACTATTAAACATCCCCTATCCATTATGGAAAGGAACTATAGCCTGTGCTCTTACAGTTTTCAAAATAAAAAACAGGCACAATCAGACCTAAACCTGTATTGCCAGAGCCTAGAGGTCACAAATAAGTTTTTCTCATTCTCAGTATATGGACAGACCACCTGTATATGCAGAAAACATACTTAATCAATCAAAATCTACAGTAAATGAAAATGTGTATAATTTTGCATTACTCTGTTGCTTCATAGGTTTAGAAAATAAGTTACAGTTGGCATGCATTGCAGTAGACATATACTTCTTCTCTCCTATACTTCTCTACTTTCTTCACATTGTCTCCAGACACCCACTTAGGCTGCATATGAATTCAATTGTCTGTCTCTAGTTTGCGTAATCTTTAGACTTGGTTTGAAAAAAGTGTAATCTTAAGTCTGTCACCTGTCACATGAAAATATGATTGCTTTGCCTAGATTCCAGCACTGGGTATAAAGCTGTCTAACTCATTATAATTACTATACTTTTACTAGCCTTAAAGGTGCACTATGTAACTTTTCGGTTGGGGGTCCGTCACCTTCTTTTTTCTATAGATATGTCATTGCTCTGCCTGGAATGTTCCACAGTATGACATTAAACAGCTCTACCTTATAAAACCCCCTGTAATTGAATAAATATAACTCAAAAATACCTAAAAAAATAAATAAATAAATTAAAAAAAAAGACATTCTGACTGTGAGAGGGGCCACCTCTCCACAGATCTGACCTGTAACTTGGCCTGTTTTGGTCTTCATGATGATAGAAAGGTTTAATACCACACTGTGAAAAATTCCAGACAAAGCAATAGCATCTCCATGGAGAAAAGCATTTGACAGACCTTCCACCAGAAAAGTTACACAATGCACCTTTAATAAATCATGAACAAATATTTAAACTATCATGAACATATTGTTTATTAAGAATGAGTATGAAAATGGCATCTGGTGTGAGAGCGATGGTGGTGGTCTGAGGGGCCGGTGGCGCAGATTGACAGCTTCACTTCTGTCAGTCAGCCCCAGGGCAGCTGTGGCTACAATATTCGCTTACTACCACTAAGTGTGGAGTCAATGAATGATAAAGTGTCTTTGAGTGTCCAGAAAAGTACTGTATAAAACTGATCCATTATTATTATTATTAGTAGAAGTAGTAGTAGAAGTAGTAGTAGTAGTAGTAGTAGTAGTAGTAGTAGTAGTAGTAGTAGTAGTAGTAGTATTAACTACTTAATTAATGCCTTGACCCTAACCCTAACCCCAAACCCCTTAATTAAGCAGTAGCTAAGCCTGAATAATGATGCATTAGTGCAAAAAAACAAAAACAAAACACCTGCTTGTCTCCATGGAGTTTGCAAAATTTTCTGAAATTTGGCACATTTCAAGCAAAACAACATGTGCATAGAAAATAAAAGGTTTCAGACACTACACCTACAAACTTGCATAATTCCCCTGTAACTATACAAAAAACATTTTTAAATTGTTTTCTTGTCTCCTAATTTATTTCCAGCGCTGATGGTGACTTTGCTGTAACCCACCTGACGAAAGCTCACCTGTTCTACGATGGTCAGATCAAGTGGATGCCCCCGGCCATTTACAAGTCCTCCTGCAGCATTGACGTCACATTCTTCCCTTTTGACCAACAGAGCTGCAAGATGAAGTTTGGCTCCTGGACTTACGATCGCGCCAAAATCGATCTGATCAGCATGGCCAGCGATGTGGACCAAATGGACTATTGGGAATCTGGGGAGTGGGTGATCGTCAATGCGGTGGGAAAGTACAATACCAAGAAATACGAGTGTTGCACTGAGATCTACGCCGATATCACGTACTACTTCATCATCAGAAGGCTACCGTTGTTTTACACTATCAACCTCATCATCCCGTGTCTTCTTATTTCTTGTTTGACTGTCCTGGTTTTTTACTTGCCATCGCAGTGCGGAGAAAAGATCACTTTGTGCATATCAGTTCTCCTCTCGCTGACTGTGTTCCTTTTGCTCATTACGGAGATCATACCTTCCACATCGCTTGTGATTCCTTTGATTGGGGAATACTTGCTTTTCACAATGGTTTTTGTCACCTTGTCAATCGTCATTACAGTTTTTGTGCTAAATGTGCATCACCGCTCACCTCAGACTCATGGTATGCCTCATTGGGTAAGGAGAGTGTTCTTGGATCTGGTGCCGAGGTTCCTCTTCATGAAAAGGCCTCCTGGAACAGCCAAGAACAACTGTAAGAAACTGATCGAGATGATGCACAAACCACCCACCGTATCTGCCACCGGGAACTCACAAACCTTCTGGGCGGGGCTTGAGACAGGGTTGAAACAGATAAGTCAGTTAGAAACCACGATACTTAAAACGCCAACTGATAGTCCAAATATCCATGTGAGTTCTCCTTCTCCACCGTCCTCTGCTAAAGAAGACTCTGATGAAAATGACCATACGTTAAAGCCAAACTTTTTCTGCCGCTCTCCATCAGGAAAGTATTCAGTCCTTTCTGAAAACCTCTGTGGATTGAACTCTGGAGTATCCTCTTGTTCTCAGTTGTCTTTGCCTCCGAGCTTACCCTTAGGTCCTCTCCGATGTCCGTCTAAGGAAGAGTCACAGAAGCCGTCTATGAATGGTCGTTCACACAGTGTGGAGCAAATGTGTGACCACCAGAGGGAGTATTCCCCAAAGAGCGAGCATCTTTGTAGATCTCGGAGCTTTAACCATTGCTGTGTCCACAGCGAGGGGACCCCAGGCGCAGTGAGGAGAGTGAAGAAGCCCCTACTGAAAGAGAACTTATTAGAAACCCTTACAGCTCAGCTCACTAAAGATGTGAGCACTCAGCAGGAAGTGGTGGCTCCTTCCATTTCACCAGCTCTGCTCCGAGCTTTAGAGGGAGTCCAGTACATCGCTGACCATCTCCGAGCAGAGGATGCAGACTTTTCTGTAAGTTGTTTTCCTTCTATTTGAAATCACAGTTCTAATTTTAAACAAAATGGATGTCACATAACAACAATATGCATTCTGAACTCAGCGAAGTGTCATACACCAGTAGTTATTCCTAATTAGCCATACATTCTTCACCAATGTGAGTTACATTGTGTGTTGTTCTGACATCTTACATCTGTCTGATCTGTCAACAGTCCATCAATGTTTCTTGGTAGGGACACTTTGGATTCTCTCCCATGTGCTTAGGCGTGCTATTTTAGTTGTTTGACAGCAATTAGCGAACGGCATAGAATTACAGAAAAGATCCCTCGTTATAAGAAACAGACCATGGCTGATAGTGTCACTCACACCTCACATTTCAGTCACTGAGTGGCCAGGAAAGACCCCTTTAAAACAATAGTAATTTGACCTTGAATTTTTTATGAGACAGGAAAGTCCTGATTGGCTGACATTTAGGAGATGGCCTCTTAATGAAAAAATCAGGCAGTGGAGAGAAATCAATCATGAGTGAAGGTTGACAGCTGGTAAAGAGGTGTGTGAGTAATGACTTACCTGTATGTGTGTGTGTGTGTGTGTGTGTTTATGTGTGTGTGTGTCTGTGTGCATGTGCGCGCTTATGTGTGTTTGCATATGTGTGTTATGTGTTTGCAGGTGAAGGAGGACTGGAAGTACGTGGCCATGGTCATTGACAGGATCTTCCTCTGGATGTTTGTGCTGGTCTGTATTCTGGGATCAGTGGGACTCTTCTTGCCCCCCTGGCTCGCTGGGATGATCTGAAGCCTTACAGTGGACAATATATCCTATATTGTAAAAAGATCTTACTTTTTTATTTTTAATGGAAGATTTTTGTTTGTTTTTCAGTTGTTGACTTGTTGCCTACTCTTTACAAAATAACAATTCTTGACGAAGGCAATTGGAAAACAGCAAATCCATTAACTTTTATTTTTACTGTATTTCTTTCCAAACTGTATTTATTGTTGAGAGAGAAAAAGGATAAGCTTTAAATAATACAACATTCAAAGTATAAAGGCATTTTCTTTTTCTAACACTGAAATTCATTTGAAAAGTGAAAAGAGGTCTCGTTACCACTGGTGGAGGAGTTAAATGGCGAGCAATTGTGTCGCCAGGTTTATTGACAGCAGCAAATCCTTTTATCAATAGACATTTATCAGGAGATGTCAACAGCTCTACTATCACAGCAGTCATTCAAGTAAACAGTGATGTGATTCAGGTAGCATAGAGTTTCACTGTTTTCCCCAGACGATATAAAAAGGGGTGGTTCTATTTTGCACCTTTCTATTAAAGCCCCATGTTTTCTTAATACTTTCTTATGCTGCATGAATCTGCTTTTAGCAGTTTAAAATAATATATATATAATTACAGTAATAAAGACTGAGATATATAAAAATGTTGTGCAGGTTTAGGCAGGATTTTGTGTGGACAGGTGAAGGTCTTGGTTGTTGATTCAGATTTAGAAATTATGCCACAATTTAATTTAAGTAATTTCTTCTGTTTCCAGTGAAATGCTGTCAGGTGAGTACAAATATTTAACCCATTACTAAAGTTTTTCCCATTAGCGAATTATGTGGCACATTTTACACATGAACAATACAAGAACAGTGGAAGGTACTTTTACCGAAAAGGAAAAAAAGCTTCAAAGAAACACCTCTCTCCATGACCACCTGACAGACATCAAAACAAAAACAAAACAAACAAACAAACAAACAAAAAAAAACAGTGGACCATACTGAAAAAGGACGATGTTTGTAAATGACTGGATCTTTGTCTTGTTATAAAATGTTCAACATAGAATGTAGTTTTAATCCCCCGATGGCGAGCTGCCTTGCCTTATTCTCAGACAGATGTCATTGGTTTACTTTGCTGTAAATAGAACATTGTGTTGGAGTATTCAAATATGTTTGTGTTGTAATTCTTGATCGGCAGGAACAATAAAAATATTTTTACAATGACTTTTTCACATTATTTGTCAACACCCTGAAAACTCTCCTTGTTTCTTAAAGGACCGATATGACGCAAAATTGACTCTTGTGAGCTTTAAGACATGTTGTTGAATGTTGTTACCTCAAAATCCTGGACATGTGTTTTGTTTCATTCACACATGTTTGAGTAACCATTGATTATTAGTCTGTCTACATCTCTACAGCTCAAAATGCTCTGTTCCACCTTGTGATGTCATACAGTGTTAGTTTTAGTTAATGCAGGGTTTGTGTGTTAAACATGTGTAAATAAAACAAATACAACTCCTGGTTAGTTTTTGATGAAGAAACTACATTATAATATAACATCAAACAATTGCCTAATATGGGCTCTTTAAATTTTAGCTGTCTGTTATTTTGCCTTTTTCTTATTAAATGAAAAATATCTGAAGATTCTTAGTTTGCTCACATCGACATTTTAACATTTTGTCTCTATCTGCTGCATTTCCTTAGATCTTTATTATTAAATCCTGCTACAAATTCATTACTGACGCACTTAGCATGTGTATTTACAGAGACAATTAATTACAAACAGATCTTAAGGTCAATGTCTCCTCAATTTCATAACATGACATTTAGTTTGTGTATTTAATAACTCTGTATACGAGACTGGCATTTCACCACTCCTATTTTTGGGCAACTGCCAATACATCCTTGTACTCTGCCTCCATAAACTCTTTTATTCTACTGTAAATTATATATTGTTTCTACAGTAACTATTGACAACGAGTATCTTATTTAATTTATATCAGTTCTCTGGTGTTATGAATAGTTTACAGTAATAAATATTTCACCACCAGCCCAGTGCACAGACACATTTTTTAAAATCATGATCCAAAAGATGTTCTTAAGTAATTTAGTTGGATAAATGCCAGCCCTCTCTGAATCTGATTAGTATAATTTATTGTTATTATTATTTATTATATCCTTGCCCAGACAGTATAAAGAAGTGGACTAAGGGAGTGTGATGTCACCCATAGCATTCAGCTCCAGTCAAACTGAATTCTGAGCAAAGTTACATTGTAGGAATAGGAAATTATTTATGGATAATAGTGAAATGAAAACACACAGATTGTAGAGCGGATTAATACGTACATTATAAGACCAAAATGATGAGACTCACTACAGTAGATACCAGAGTTGGGGACTTGCAAGTCATGACTTGGACTCGAGTTAGACTTGAGTCACAATTTTTAGGATTTGAGATTTGACTTGATAAAATGGACTAAGACTTGGGACTCGACTTGGACTTGAAGGTCAGTTATTGAAAAGACTTGAGAAGCACTTTTAAATCTGAATTTGTTCTGTATTCTGACTGTAATGATTCACACTAAGACAAGGGTCTCTAAGCCTTTTTCCTCTGGTGAGCTACCTTTGCAAAACAAAAATGCCAAAGAGCTACTTATTTTAGCAGTTGCTGTGGCGCTTATATATACTACATTTCTTTAGGGACATAAACTAAATTTCTTTAGGGACAGTTAGATAGATAAAATATAAACCAATATTCATTTATTAGTGCACAAAACTGGGCATTAATATGGTAGATTTACAATGGTAATTAATCAAATTTTACTTATTTAGCACAATACGTATAATTCAGAATTCCCTTGGTGAGCTACTTGGAATGGAGCTACTGGGAGCTCTCGGGCTACAGGTTGCAGACCCCTGCTCTAAAATCTTGTCAAGACATTTAAAAAGGAAAAAATGCATTTCTGCAACTCTTACATACTCTATAAATATTCATATATAAATATACCTTGACTTTAAGTACAATTTATCTTAAATGTCATATAAATTGCAAAAATCTAAGCTATATTTATCACTTTGGTTTAAAGACTTGAAATGACTTGAAGCTCAAAGCAGATGACTTGGACTTGACTTGGACTTACCTGTATTTGATTTGGGACTTGAGGTCAAAGACTTGAGACTTACTTGAGACTTACCTGAGACTTGCAAAACAATGACATCTCTGGTAGTTACAGAGAGAGGAGCGACAATTTTCCAGTGTAAAGTCAATTGGAAACAGAGTTGATGGAGACAGAAGCGCCCCCATGCACGCTTCCTATTTGGGTTAGTTGTGTACGTTCATATATACAGTTTACGATCCTGCCTGAACTTTCTGTTCAACTCATTGTCATGCTACAAAAAAGTATTCATTATGAACACCACTGAGAATTCTCCCACCTTTGTGTTTTGAAGCCACTAATGAAATCAATGTGTACACCACACTGGGGGTATTTCTGCTTTCATTTTTTGCTTAATTGCCATTTTTTTCCCTTCCCTTTTATATCGAACACTCAATGTTTAGTTTTGTGCTGAGCCACGAGAACAGAATCAGTGAGAGACAAGGTCAAAACTGAGGTCCATGTTGGGTACTGGAGTGTAGCATTACAGACTTTTAAATCTAATTAAATGTGAGCTTCCACTGAGTTGGAACTACAGCATGAAGACAGCTAAGTGGTGGGGGACAAGGGTAAAAATTATGTATGACTGAAGTCAAAATGTAACTAATTGGATCTACAGAATATATTAAAGGCTTATATTACTCTATTTTCTGATCTGTTATAATTGTTTTCTCATCACAAACATACCTGGAGTTGTGTTTTGTTTCATTCACACATTTAACATACAAACCTTTTCTCTCTCAAACTGAAAACACTCATGTTATGTTGTAATACAGGAAGTGCTCCACCCTTTTTTTAAACTCCACACACTTTCACTAGAATCATTTGGATTATTTCAGCCCTGAAATTGCCAGTCTCTACTGAACTTTGGAGATGTGAAAATGCTAATAATAAAAGGTTACTCAAAGATGTGTGGATGAAAGAAAACACAACTCCTGGTATGTTTTTGAGGAGGTAACATGACATTATAACATGACTTAAAGCTCACAAGAATCCATTTTGTGTAATGTAGGACACTTTTTTTTGTGTCTAAGCATCTCTGAACTCTACAGTTGAAAAATGGTTTAGGTCAACTGTTGGATTCCCCAAATTGATGCAGAAAATTCAATCAAATTACATGCAAATATGAAAGTAATGCTGCATAATAGCGTGTCTTATGATGCATACATTTCACAGTATAGTGCTGGATTTGGATAAACCTCTTGGGGCTCCAGTTGCCTGCTTCACTGTGCGAGTACTTTTTCCTGACTCCATCTCATTATAATTTACACACTCCTCTTGTCTGTTGACATTCGCAGGACGAAGTCAATGCTGTGTTGGCTCGCCAGCACCAAAACAATCTGGGCCAACACCTAAGATATACAGTACTTCCTGTGTCCTTGTCTGGGACTCACTCAAAAGTACAATTGGCACAGACCCCTCCACAGCAGCAGCCTGACTGATTTATGCACATAAACCAAGATGAGTGTTCACACTTTTGGCACCGTCCATTTGTCCAGGGTCCAAAGTTTGAGAAGGTACAAAACTACTTAATAAAATGCTATTAAAGACCAAAGATGAAAATGAACACATTAAAATGAGTTAGGCAGTGTAGTGTAAAATAATCTTAAAGAAAACCTTGCTTGTGTCTGCTTGAATCTATAATCTGATAGATAGATCATCACTAAAAAGTTGTCGGAGTTGTGGATAGCTGCAAATCACACTAGAAAGCCGTGGATGTTATCACTGAAGAAAGAAAACAAAGAAAATAAAACTGAAGAATGAATTAAGCACAAAGCAATGTACATATATGCTGGTGATGGCTAAAACTGGGGTTGATTGGTTGATCTTGAAAGTAAGCAAAGATTGTTCAAATATGCACGTATCACTGCAAACA